GCTACCTCAGCACGACGTCAGGGGTCATCACGTCTCCAGGATCCCCAGCTGCTCACCTCAGTCCTCGCATCAGACACCCAGAATGCCTCCCTTTAGGGATTCCTTTACATTCTAACCAGAAGGGACAGACGATCGGGAATTTCGAGGAGCCTACTTAACTGGCTTTCCCTTTGGGTGATGAGGATGAGAATACCAAGGCTAACTGGATGTTGTAGGGGTAATGTGATTTCAATGTCTCCTAGCTTTCCTCTAACCACACATTTTCTAAGAATTAAAGCCCTGTCACACTGGGAAAGGGTCTCCCAAGGCAATAAATTAATCAAAATGCTGGGCTCCTAAGTCAACAAGAGGCTACGCTTGCCTACACAGGCCTTTTCTGCTTGACTTTGCCGTGGCCATTCTCCCACAGGGTGATTAACCCCGAGGAAGAAAACTGAGCAGCCTCCGGTCTCAGGCCCGGCTGCATACAGGCTCCTGGTCTGAAGGCATGCTGCTGTGACCTCTTGACAGCCTGCTCATTAGACTTTGGCTATGTGCCATTTTTTTCTGGGGATGGCTCATTATTTTGCCACTCGCTCATTTGTACATGCAACTTCTACAAATCAAAACAGAAACTTCTAGACAAAGGAAAACACATTTTATTTACAAGAAACAAGCCTGTATACTGTGTATACATAAAAATATACAAAACCAAAATAGAAAATATCAAAGTGTTAAAATGTGTACAAACACTTTTAAAATGTGACTCCTGGAAAACCTCAAGCCTTAATTAGTTTGAAGAGTACACATTTCATTTTAAAAATTATCATACAAAAAAATTCCCAAAGCTGTTAAAAAAGTTGACTGGTTTCCACAGGAAAAATTTCATAAGAAACTTATCTAGAGTAAAACAGTGTGTGTGGCACTATAAATGTTAGGTTTTAACACTACTAATGCAGTTAATTTGTTTGAAACCTACCTAGTAAGAAGACTATTTTCCATAAAACCAATAAATGTTTCTTCCCCTAATCTTGTAAAGCCATGAGCTATAGATAAACTTCTCATCCAAGTTCAGAGTTCAATCAGGCTCTGACCAGGAGACAATCTTCAGGCAGTGGTCCTACCTTCACAGTGCCTTTTAAACGCTTCTGCCATACTTTTCAATGTAGCCAGGGCGTGTACAATACGAGTGTGGGAAGACTGAATTTTTTTTTTAACTGAAGGACATACAACATTTGCTTCCTTCTTTTAAAAAAATGGTGTTTGCATACTTAAAATAAAATTTATTGCAAAGATTCCAGAAATAAAGTTTGATGAAAAAACACAATATGAAACCAACCATGTGTGTAGATATGTATATATACAATTATATAACTATATCTACATGCACACTTTTTTATAACAAGAGTAAGAACTGCATCAATGTCTTTAATTCTTTAAATTCTATTATTCCAAGCTTGTAGAGCAATATGCTAGATTATTTTTTCTTACTAAAAGGCTTCATTCATTTAATAAAACAAGAATCAGAACCTAAAATTTATTTCCTTAAATTAACAGAGAAATATCTTTCATTTACCGATTGTGTAAATAATGCCCGAGTGACAGAAGCATGCAGAATAATTTCACAATGGAAATATCCAGAGTATAAAAAACAAGTTTAAACTCAGGCACATTTTACCTAAGCAATTACTTTCTAAATGTAGCTGCCTTCAACAGCTGTGTAACCACTGGGTACGAGCTCTAATCTACCAGAAACAGAGGAGCTGAAACAGACAATGTGATAGAATATATTCAGAGACTATCTGGCGTATGCACTCAGTCACGCATTTCCTGCTAGTCCCCCGCCTCCTTTCTGTGTCTCTTCCCACAGCTAAGCAGAAATGGTACCAGGACACTTTGGCCTTCAGCCTACATGCACTGTGCACTGATCTCTAAGAAAGGCTGGAGAGAGAACTTGAATCATGTCATTTGTGCACATACCATTACTCACGTGAGACTGATTTCACCTAACGCAGCCCAACAGGACCTAATTAATTCAGTGGACGGAAGTGTTCCTGCACAAAAGGTCAGCCAACAGCATAAGGTATTAATCCGTTCCACCAGAATGAACTGGCTCATACACATACAACAGTTACCCCGGGTAGCTTTAAATAGTTACTTTTATTTCCCAATTTTGAAAATGCTAACGATTATTTCAGCATCGCTTTGTCCAGATGCTGTGGCTACGATGACAGATGATCACTGGACAGTCCAGGATTGATTAAGTGTCTGGCTGAGAGACCGAGGGCACGAGACACATGGAAAGTGCCATTGCTGAAGCAGGGTTCCTCGCGTCTGTGTCCAGGCAGGCAAGGAACGGTGTGCAAAAGCCCCTCACTTGGCCCTTTTTAATGCACTCTCCTGACGTTGCATGATGCTTACATGCAGCTTTTAATTGTCCGCCACTTGGCCCTGTGCACAAAGATCTTGATATTTATAAGCAGCCCTGTAAGGATGTAGTAGGGAAGGTGAGAGACACAAGGCCAGCAATGGTATTTCACGGCAGAGGGACTGGGGAATTGAGTTAGGGAGACTCTAGATGAAGGTGAGCTGTCACTTTTGGTCAGCATTTGTTTCTTTGTGATACCAACAAAAACAAAAAAAGATAATTATCTTGAAACGTAAAGCAACGTGACCACTGTTAGTCCTAAGAGTGAAAAAAGGGACAGCTAATGGCTTCAGGTTGCACAAGGATGTTATCAGCTTCCCTTCACAAAAGTGGATGGAGGGTTTTGGAAGGGACAGAGCCTGGGAGAAGTGTAGTAGGACACCATTTATTCTCAACTGCTCCACAGAAGGGCTGCGTGTTTACTGCAGTTCAGTAAACGTAGAATATAAGGACTTAACCAATGTCTGGCAAAATATTGTCACTTAGGACCAATGTGGCTGATACTAGAAATAGTCATCATGTTAACTATAACTGCCTAATATTTTTGAGAGGCTACACAATTTAAACTTTTAAACAGAACAATGCCCAGCCCACACTATATTAATATGTGTACATTTTCTGAATGTTTAACAGACCCTGATTCCCAAGAGTCTTTAAGGCCATAACAAATTCAAAAATTTTAATTAAATTTCCTTTATTCTTTTCATTCTTTCTGAAGACTGAAAGTACTTTTAAAAAGTACATGTGTTACAACAAAATGCTATTTAAAAATCTTTGAAGTGTCTTTTGGGGCTTTTGAATGTGAATATTTACACTGACCTCCAATAAATTTTCCTCTAACCAAGTTCTCATGTCACCAAAGGGGGTGGTTCTGGATAATAAGGATGCCAAGAAGGAAATCCACTAGGCAGACTATCAAAGGAGCTGCAATGTCCTGTCACCTGAAGGCAGAGCCGGAAGGTCCACGGAGAGCAGGGCTGCAGGAGGACCACTCACCCATGTCACAGCCACCTCACCAGCGTCCTCAGTGAACTCAAGACTCCCTACACATAGGGAGAAGACTAAGCTCGTTCAGGAAATCTGAAAGCAAAGTGGCTTGACCATGTCTGTTCAGACATGAGCTAATGTGTAGGACAAAATTACACATTCCTTTTCACAGATCTAGAAACAAAGCTCTCAAAATGGGTTTTTAGTGGCTATTGTCATGATCAAAACTTTTCAGTTACTCCTACTTCACTATTATCATAAGCCAGAGGAGATGTCTGTTACCCAACCCAATTTCTGCAAAGTAGACCAACTAAACAGAAGCTGTCTGTTTGTGTAAACCATTCTTGCTCAAGAATGTTGTCTTGACAGCACTCAGGAAAAAACTAATCCTGGAACTTAAAAAGCTTTTCCACTAAACTCTCCTGACATTCACACACTTGCAAGGGAGAACATATTTAATTAAGCTGCTATTGTCATTGTCAAGAAGACTTAACTGTACCACTGAGATACGTTTTGGTTATATACTGAAATAGCATGTTTAACTAAAGTATTCCAAAATGTTTCTGTTTCACTACTTTCACAGCAAAAGAATTTTTGCTTTTTTGCAAAAATTTGAGGTTGAGGTTAAAAGAAAAACAAAACAGAACTCAATATAGCTAACACATTGGGATGACAACTTTCCCTCTAGCATATGTGTATTTTCCTTGTTGTTACAGAGCAATGCTGTCACACAATTTTATTTAATTATATGGCTTTGTTATGTTGCTTATATAAAACATATCTGTGAAAACAAGGATGGGATTCCTAAACATCTGTCTGTAGGAAGAATTAGTGAAAATTCAGTACATTGCTGTCAGGTTCTCAAAGCTGATATTAATGTGCAAGAAATCTGTATAAAAGAGACAGGCGTGCATCCCGAGAAGCACAGGGTGACTGCTCCGCAATCCTTCCTTCCGGACTGGAAGGAGTCCTCCCCCACAGGGGCGTCATGATGTCAGTGCGTCTAACTATAAAGGGGGTGAGGACACCGGCAGGTGAGGAGGTACAAGGCAGGAAAGCCAGAGCTGCGGACGTCCTGTGTGGGCCCCGCGAGTCTGCACTCCTGCGCCAGTCATGCTCCTCCCGCTCTGGGTGGTACTCTTAGTCGAGGAGGAAACACGGCAGGAAAACAAGCGCCTCCTGCGTGGTGCTATTCCAGGGTCAGCTTTTCTTTGGACTGCTGCAGAGGGATGCTTTATGGTTTCAGAAACGTGTCCCAATACAGCAGAGCAAAGCACTCTGCGGGCACCGGGCAGCAGAGAGGAGGGGCATCAGTCTGGTAACAGACATACTGAGGCTTTTTGCCAATAAATCACACACATCTGAGGGATATTTCAGACGTTCATCATCAATGCTAGATCTTCAATGATGAATGCGTGTACAAGTACACTAGAGCCTATAGATACTGCACCTCAACGTGGGTGTTTCCAGGTATAAACCACTTCATAATATCAGGTGTATCATTGAAATCTGCAGCTGAAACCAACCCTGATAAGTGGTACCCATGCCTAAGAAAATGTTATCATTTTTGGAGGTATAGTACCCATTTGCTTTTTTTCTAGCTATCTTTTTTTTTTTGCATCTTTCTTGAGATTTTTTTTCCTTTTAATTCCATTTCTATATTCAAAGCAGTAATAAATACTCAATGGCTTTGAAAGAGAAGAATTCTCATGGTCACCACTACACTACACTCTAAAGACTCAAGACTACATCGCCTAAAATATATCTTCAAGTATTCTTTTGTGACTTAGAGTACCACAGTAGTACCTTATTGCACATTGATTCCCAAGAGTCCCCTTTCAAGAGTGTGGACCAGCGGAGTGGGGCGCAGGGCAGCGCACGGCCCGGAGGCCCGGCAGGACCACCTTCCCCTTGCGGTGCAGGTCCCCCAGGGCGCCTGTGTTGAGGCGCTGCACCAGGAGCTTCTCGTAGAGCAGCGGGTGGTACGCCCCGAGCGTGCAGGCCGCGTCGTGGTACAGCTCGTGGTAGTGGCAAAGCTCCGTCTGCCGGATGGACGGGATGTATTCATACACGTGCACCTCACCGCACATGGACATCATGAGGAGGATTCCTGAAGCAGAAAGAAAATCAGAACCCGATGAACAACTCCAAGTGGAAGGGTAATCTTTCGGAGGAGTGGTGGGAGGGGAATGACTGTGGCAAGAGACACCTGCTCTGCACTCACGTGTTATCTTTATGTTTGCAGTGCTGTCACTTCCAGTAAGTGGCGCGTGTATGGTTCATAGGGCGCGGGGGCATAAGACATAACACTATCATATATTCACTTGTTCAGTGACTACTGTGGGCCCGGGAACAAGAGAGGAAAAGACAAAGTTATTGATCTTAAGGAGACAGCAGTGACAGATCTGCATCCCCAAGTTAGAATATCGTCTATCACATTCTACACACAGGTCCCATCTGATTTGTAATAGTAGGAGTGTTATGTTCCAAAGAAACACATTTTATAAAAAACGTTATAAAACAGTTTCTTGATTATAAAAGTTGTTTGCATAGAAAGAGATGGATTTGGGGACCAAGAGTTTAAGATTCATAGTAACAAAATTGTTCTCACTGAAACCAGCAGTATTAAAGTAGCTTTTTTTTTAATGTTTCAAATAGACAGCTATAAAACCTCATCATCGTTGAGCAAATCTAGTTCCTGATCTAGACTAAAGGGCTATCTTTTCCTAGAACCACCAACACCTTTGCTAACATCCTTTACCTTTAAAAAAATATGCTTATTCCATTTATGAAAGGGATATCCCTTGTTATGAAAAACATAAAGTCACAGTTCCTGTTATAGACAATATTTGCCTGCAGAGGACAATCATATTTCTAATTAATCAACCCTGTTTGTATCATGAAAATCCCCACAACCAGAGAAAGTCTTGCATAGGGGACATGGGAAGAGAAGAGAGCAGGGATCCAGAAAGGTCGCCCAGGGGAGGTGAGACCTGATTGCAGAGTGGCTGCCTGGTGGGAGGCACCCTGTTTGGAAGACTTTAAAGATGTGACTTGAGAGCCAGGAGACTGTTGTGGCTGAGAGAAAAACATATTCCAAACAAAGATAAGCAGATTATTCAGTTCAAACTCTATGAAGTAAAGCTGCTCTCAAGAGCTCTGTCAAAACGTCAAGTTACTGGTCAGCTCCTCTCCTTTTCCTGCCCGTTCTACCCATTTCCTCCTCCTCTTCCACGGCTGAACCCACTGCCTGGCTGGGGCCCCTTCTGTGGGACGGCTGAAAGTGAGAGTGATTCAGGTGGAGCTAAACAACGACCACCCAGCACCAGAGCCTTCTTCCTGAAGTCCCCAAGGGGACTAGGCACCAGCCCCAAAGCGTGCAGCACAGGAGACAGAGAAGGCTCCCTCCTCTGATAAGCAACTACTGCTCTGTAAGCATTTCTCCTCTTCCTCGTAAAATCGTCTATAAGGAAGTGACAGGATGAATAAGAAAGCCATGTGCCCAGGGAGGGGTAAATTCCCCTTTCATTCCCAGTTACTTTAAACCTGAAACAGGATCCCCTCTGATGAGCACGTTCTCTCTCTCGAGTGCCACAGGGCCTGTGTCTGCGGAGCTGAGGATGGCTTTAGTGTTTGCTAACCAGGGGCTGCGGAATGAGTTCTGCACGTGCCTCCAGCGCTGGCTGCTCTCCCTGCCCCGGGCATGGCGTATGGCTGTGCCAGCTGTGCTCGAGGAACCACATCAGAGGATCCTCAACATCCTTCAAATCCTGGACGTCATCCACTCATGTATTTACTGTAACAGTTCCTGCAGATAGTAGTGACGAGGCTTCAAGGGTGCATTTGCACAAAGGCATCTTATAAGCCAGCAGTGGAACTGTACCTGGAAACCGTGAGTCTCTGCTACCTGGGTTGTGTTGTGAGACAATAACACAACCTCATGCGTTGGGACTGTAGTAAATTGTGTATGAGCGGTCACCTTTACAACTCTGGTTCTTCAAGTGGATGGCTTTCAAAAGTGAATGTTGTAATTAAGAAACACGTTAGCCATGTTGTCGGCCTGCCTCCAAAAGCAGTTCTCAGACTTCAGCATGAAAACCAATGACCCAGGCAGCTTGTTACAATGCAGATTCTTGGCACCTGTCCCCACTCCCAGAGATCTGGGCTCCACTGGTTTACGTTGGGGTCCTGGAAATGGAATTTTTAACAATCCTAAACTTCTGTGGTGAAGGCCATTTAAAAAAAAAAAATTATAATCCATCACAGACCAATACTTGTATAAAATAACAATGAATTACTAGAAAAATGACATCCTACATCAAATTGCTATAAAAGTTTCTAAACACTTTCAATTCTACAGCAATCTAGTTAGCGACCAATAACAAATGTTCCTGGACCAACGCTGGTCCGCTTTGAGGACCACGCGGGTCTAACACACATATTCTTTGAAAAACTGTGCTCTCAGGGATCCCTAGGCTGTCTTCTAAGTAGCTAGGTATCCTGCATGTTGGACAGCTAACCTAGAGGGGAGGTGCCCCCACACTCAAGTAAGGAGGACCCTGGGCAGTCTCCTTGGATGTCCTCACTATCGTCTTGGTCTCAAAGAGCTACTAGATCCTTGAATCTGATTATTTTTTCCTAGAAAGTTTCCCAGAGATAATTTTTACTCTTGCTGCTAGTTAATTATTATATTTTAAATCACATATTTGCTAAATATACAGTATAGATTTTTATCATAAGACTAGGCAAAAAGTTATGGTTTCACCATAAGTAAATAAGTACATTTCAGTATTTTCATATATAAATACTTTATATTTTAAAATAACTTCTAGAGCTTCCGAAATACAGAAACCTGTCAGTTCATGACAGTCCAAATTGAAGGCCAAGAGGTTAAGAAAGTGTAGGTTCTTATCTTGAGCTATCTGTGTAAGTCCTCCTAATTTTTGCCTATCCAATACACATTTAGCAACAATGGATTTCCATCTCGTTTTGTACTCTCACACGAACTTGCGGCTTCCTGTAACTATGAGCCTTAGCCTAGATTATCCCAAAATTTAAGTAATAGCCGAATCTGCTCTAAGTGTTTAAACGGAATTGGTATGGCAGCACCTTCAAAGAGAAGGGAAAAATTAACTGACAGTTCCTTGGGTACATGTGAAAGGTGGACAAGGTTTATGGTGCCAAAGGTGTAGAATACTTTTTATTATCTTAAACTTTTTTCAGACAGCATGGTCAATTCATTTGGCATATGCATCTCTGCTTTTTAGTTTATTAAGGCCATTATTATACATAAATTTGAGTTTAGATTCAGGCTCTGTCATACAATAAATACTGAGAATCATCATTGTTAAATGTGGTTAAATATACACATCAGTTTTCCTAGAGTCAACAGTACTTAGCAGTACAAAATCCTGAAGATGCAATTTCTTCATGTTTTGCAAAAAGGAATAGGTAGATATCAATGTTGGAGTTACACAATAGCTCTGGCACAGCTTAGAGTATGTGTGTTAGGGAACAATGGGGTATGGGAGCAGATACTGCAGGGAGGCAGCATTGAGACAGGACGGTAAAGACCAGAGCCTTCAAGCACTGTTGGAGGCCTCTTTGATTAAATTCAACATTTATTAATCGGGGCGCAGCGCTAATAATTGATGAGTTAGAGAAAGTTTCCTGAAGGGGAAACAAAAGCAAACTCAACAACTAATCTTTAAATTTAAAAACTAGTGGCAAGCCTATAACCTACAATTCTTAGACGACTTGAAGAAAGTGTCTTAAACATCGTACTGAGAAAAATGTTTGCACACTGCCACCAGCATCTCTTCCGAAACGCTGTGACGCTGAGCCCCATTATCCACAAATGATATAAAACCAACACCACCTGGCTCTCAGGTGTCCTCTGAATCACCACTAACAAGGTACCACGTCCAGAGTCCCCAGCCCAGCCTCAGGTTTGATGAACTGCTAGGAGGACCAACAGGATCCAGCGTACAGTTGCCCTCAGCTGTGATGTGTTAAGGCTAAAGGCTAGAATTCGAAACCAACAAAAGGGAAAGGCTCCCCTCAGGGCGAAGTCCAGGGGAAACCAGCACAAGCTTCCAGAGTCTTCTCCCAGTGGAGTCACACAGGGTTTGCTTAATTCCCCCAGCAACACATGTGAAATGCTGCCAATCAAGGAAGCTTTTCAGAGACTCAGAGCTCAAGGTTCTTACGGAGAGCTGTTCACGTGGGCAGTCTCTGCCTGGCACACACCAAAATTCCAGACTACCAGAAGCAAAGTGGTGCTTGGTACCAACCACGGTGCCTGCACAAACAGTCTCGGCACAGTGGACGGCTCTCATCAGTTACAGAGGTGGGAACCCTCCCCAAATCCAAGTTCCCAGATGTCAGCCAAGGGCCAACCTCGTAAGCAGGACTTCTAACGCTCGTCAGTCAGGCCTGCCATGTTAAACCTTTCCTGCACAGATACCATGTATGTATAAATTCACAGTGTCACGTTACATCATAATCATTTCCCCATGCCAGACCAACATGAGGAATTCACATCTGGTTATGCTAAAAATGTTATTATTTTTTTTTCATTTCCTTTCTTAGCACTGCTCAAGATTATCTAAAAAGCAAGAAGAAGACAAATCATTGAATACTATGCTATTCAGTAAAGAATTTTTTAAAAATCACTTAAGGAACTGTTATGTTAAATAATTTTGTTTATAGACTACCAAAAAGTAACTGCTTTCATCACTAATAAAATTTTACTGCTTTCAACGTGGAGCTGGACTTTTTGATAGGCAAATCAATGACTAGACACTTTTTAATGTATTTCTCAAAGCCAATCAAACAGGCACGTGGCCAGCTTTGTAAAATTTTTAAACATAATTCAATTACTGTTAAGTTTCTTTGGGCAGTTTTTATAAATGAGTCCATATTAGGGATTCATTTGAAGAAAGAAAGTGCAAATTTTTTCCGGGCAGTTATGACTCAAGAGGCATTCATTTGCCAAATTGTATGTTTTTAAATATTGTATAATACAATATAATTATCAAACCAATTAAAAAGCATTTCAACTGGTCTTAACAAAATGTCACATTATATGACTCAGCATAATAAGCAGTA